ACACAGGTTTGGATTGATAAGTGGATTTATTGAACACTTATAACTGGTAACTATAACACGTTTGCCAATCTACATGCTTAATAAATCATTATAACACATGCTGAGTATGTCTGTTATAGTCTTTAGTCATTGTTTGGTTATGGTTCCCAACAATAGAGATTCTTCTGGTCGTGTGCTTACATAGTTTACAGCTGGCCACCATTTCACAACTGACTTATTGCATCACTGGTCCTTAGTATATAGTTTGGGTCAGAATGCATATAAAACAATCTCCAGCAATTATTCTGTTGTAAGTTTTATGACATTAGAGGTGTTTACTGTGCCATTGCCTAGCACCCAATGACATCGCCTGTTAAAATATTCAGGCATGTCACAATATACTGACTCCAACCATACAGAGCTGAAGATTTTTGTTCTGTGTATGACCAAAGCTAGGCACTAACATATATGATAGAAGGATTATTTTTCATGTCCATATTTCCTGCATATAACATTATCTAAGAGGCCAATAATGTGTGTGTGCTCTGAGTGTTCTCTTACCAGTCTACATTGTTATCTGCCGAAGGCTAGTAGATCCCTAGACTGTTTTTCCGAAGGTCCTTCAATTAAGAGCTTTGGCTGTCTCATACCCTGCATTGGAGCCCAATATTCAGATTGCTTCTTTATCACTCCTCAATAATATTGAGCCTATCAGCACATGGTGAGATTGGAATTGCTGGTTTGTGACCAAATGTGAACCACTCTATCCCTTCCTAGCCAGGATTTCAACATCATCACTGCCCTAAATCCTGCTTTGGTCAGAGATCCAGATGAGCATTTCCTTATTCCAATTGGATGAAGCACATAATGCCTGTTAACATTTCCAAGTCAGCTTCTGCAGTATCCTTATTACTTCAAAGGCTTGTAAATCTGTCTGGCTGTCCAGTATAATTCCTTTCTCTACAGTCCTTTACATAACCTAAAATTGCAAATATTTCTGTCTGGAACACTTTGGCATGTGCATCATATGAAAAGGCAGGCTCCTCCACCTCAATCTCATCGTATACAAACATGCTACAGACTGCAGCCATTCTGGTCCCATCTGCATGTCAGACCAGCCCTCTGAATCAAAGAGACATTGGCCAGATAGGTAGCCAGGTTTTGCATAGTTCGGTCACAGAAGCATTAATCAGTACTAATTTGCCCTGACCATTTTGAAAGACAGAATCTGACTCTATTAGACAGGCAAGGATAAGGGCATAATTTTTTACCGATCCCCTGCCTGACCACATGCTTGTACCACTGAGCCTGCAGATCATGGCCATAGCCTCAGCCTCTGCTGCCAAATGAAGAAGAAAAAGATCAGAGAGACCTTCAAGAGCAGCCATGGAGACCATACACACCCACTGATCTTCTGCAGGTGACCAAGATCAGCCTTGACTGTGTCCAGACCAACTGTTTGCCTTTATACACATGTCGTGTACTTAAGCACAGGCCTTAATACACCTGTGTAAAGCCACTGCAGGATTTTCCATTCAAGACCCCACAATTTGCCAAGAGTCCTATGACATAATTAAAAGGAAGAGTAGGATTTATTGAAACTTTGTTTCACATGCTCCCACCAAGTCAGTTTAGCAACTAGGATTACCGCAAGATACTTCACCAACCTGATAACTGTGTTTGGTACAGTGGGTTCCACGAAACCTTCTACTACATTTCTCTTAATAAAGAGGGTACGTTCTACCTTACTGGAATTGATAGACAGCTCTTTGGCCCTGCAATGTTAAGAGCCCTTTCCATGACCTTTGAAATGGTACTTAACATCATTTCCTCTCTTCTTGTCTAGGTTTATTAATGGCTGATTGTCTCCAGCTGCCCTCTGTTATTTGCTGACAAGGACAGCAGAGGCTCACTGCTGGTCCCAGCTGTACTGACATTCAAACATTTGTCTTAGTTCTTGGCAGCCTTCTTCCTGACCCACTTTTTTCGCAGGCCATCATGATTTCTCCTGGTTGCTCACCCCATCAAGAGACCTTCAGCCTCATCCAGTGGAGTTCTTGTTAGAAACCCCAAGGGATGTTTGCTGCTGGCCTTCACCAGCACAGTCATTCTTTGTTTTTGGCCCTGTCAGAACCCATGACCATATTTTTATTTGTTGCAAGATCACTTATATGTTTTCAAATGAGGCCTCTCTTCCAGGATAGAAAGGGTCTGATTACTGCTGACTCACTGCCTGATTGACTGTCCTGCAGAAATTTACTGCTGGCCTTCACTAACCCAGCAGTACAGCTGTATTTCATTAGGAGAGAGGATCCAGGGCTCTCTGCAGATGGGTCCCTGGGCATAACACACCTGACCCCAGTTAAGGCAGATGGTTGGTCAAAGTCTTGTGGGACCACAAGAAGGAAATATAGTAACCTCCCCACAGATCCCCACATACAAGGGGTAGTCTAGATACAATGGGAGGTGGTCATATATCCCATGAATGCTGTTCACCACACTGCTCCCTCAGTGTTACACAGTCCTCAGCCTGGTAGCCCATAGGACACCTTAGGACACCACCATCCTTATTCATCCAGATAACTCTGCTGCTTGAAGGGACTGCCACAAGGAGGCACACTGAATGGTTTGGTCCCCAAATGTCAACCCTTATGTCACTGTAAACTGTACATCATGCTGTGCTCTGGAGAGTAGATGTTCCTTTTCTGCACCTAAGACTTGTTTCACATGTTTTCAGAGTTTGCGACTCACCCTGCTCTGTACCTTGAAAGTAGGACTCTGTTCTTTGTTCCAAGTTTCTTGGTGTCTTTCCTGGCAGTAAACTCTCATGGGAATGTCACTTGAGTTGGCTCTGCAATTAAATGTGAATGATTACTGAATATTTCAAAAGTTGTGTCTGGTAGGTTATGGTCAGAAGGTAATTTCCCATTCCCAAATAGGTTGGCACCTGCCTCGTGCATGTTTGTCTCCATCTCAGAATCCTGTCTGTGATATACCCTGTGCTCTACACTGGAATTTGCCTTGCCACTCAGACATCTGTACTAACTGTTTTGAGTCTATATGTGAAATATGGATCTTTGAAGAGAAATCTATTCCTTTATTGTTATGCATCAGAGTTGGCAACACAGTCTTGTCACCCATTCACAGGGTGATATTTTACTCTACTGTCTGCAATAAGTATGATTTAAATGACAGCCGCTCAGCCTGTGGTTATGTCAAACATCTGCCCTTGTTTATTTGCTAGTATTTGTAAAATTGTTTTCTGCCCATCTGCAATACACAGCCCAAATCTGTGAGATTTACCTGTTTTCTTTTGGTGAGGGGCATCATTATTTAATAATACTGTCAGTATTCACTGTCAGTGTTGAAACTATATATCATCAGTGATAGGATGAGTAATGAATATTATATATATAGTTTGTGGAATGAGAATTTGCAGGGGAAACAAAGGTATTCAGAGAAAACCCACCCCACTGCCACTTTGTCTACCACAATTCCCACATTACCTGACCTGAGACCGAACCAAGGCTGCCACAGTGGAAAGCCACCAACTAACTTCCTGAGGTATGGCATGTCCCACACCTGAATTCCAGTTTTCCTTTGTCATCAGCTTCTATAAAATTATCTCCTGTGCACATATTCTTTAACTTTATCCGTAAAGAGGAAAATGCCGCGAAAAAGCAAACGACAATATTAAATTTTTTAAGTGTTAAGTGTTGGATGTTGTTGAACACTGTGATTGAAATAACTAATTCATACTTCAGTGTAATGTAAAAAAAGTATTAAATAGGCCATGAGATGACATAAAAGTGAGGTTGAATAAATTCAAATACAGGTAGGCCTATAGTATTATGAAGGTACAGTATTACAGTACTACTTTTAATAAAATTTGTCTTAACCGGGTTTTCGATTAATTGTGATTTCCATCCCCACCATTATCCCAGATAATCGAGAGTTGAGTGTAATTGAGAATTTCTGTCTGCGTAAAGCATGGTTTTGGGGGTTGGGGGTGAGGACTTGGATACACAGGACTGCCCAGCAGTAAGGCCATAGGAGCCATTCTACTTGCAATACAAATGTGACTTCAGACCAAGCTCAAGGTAGTGATGTTTGTGCTGATCTTCACTGGTTTGTTTTATGATACAGAGTATGGTCTGTTGAGGTACTTACACATACACAAAGGACAAATCATTGCAAGAGGTAAAATGACTAAAATGATCCATGCAAAGTCTTTCAGCTCTGTCAGGAGGGAGGATGTTATGGTCACAGGCCTTTGGCTCAGTTACACTCACCCAATGCCTGGACACGTGTTATATGGTGATCTGGCATCCATTTGTTTGCACTATGATGTAGGTGTTATCATTTCCATAATTGTTCTCAGATGACTGTTTTGTAATAAATGTCACAGATTCCATTTTGTTTGCTCATTGCACTGCATCCTTGGATTTGTTCCTATAGTGTGTATTTCTTTAGTATATGGCTTGCTTAGGTCTGTTTAGTTGATGCTGCTTCATCTACTGAATGACCGAACTCTCTATGCCATCTATGTTGAATTATGGGTTTTGTTTTTATAATCTTATGCTGGCCCAAATAGGATTATTGCTGATGCACTTTGAAGTAAACATCCACACCCATGTTTTCACACACATGTGTGAAATTTTTTCACATTTTAGGATTATGAATATGTAAGTTCACAGTATGATGATAAATATACAAGGATGAATTCTTGATATTAATTTGGAAATTGTGTGCAGTCAGTTTGGCACAGAGTAGAGCAGTTCTGATGCAAACATCTCATGAGAGAAATGGAATCATTGAATATTTGATCATTCATATAGTGATGTATTCTCAGTGCCTTGAGCATTCATTTAGTGATGTATTCTCAGCACCTCAACCAGAAAAGTACATTTTATGGAAATTTAATGGAGGTAGTTTCAAATGTGCTGTATTTTTCTGTTTTGTGATGTTTTCATGATTCTTTGGAGGTAATGCTATCAAGGCCTCTCTCTTTGTTTCCACAGATTTGCCGAGTAGATGTTGAATGTATTTCATCACATCTAACATTCCAACATCTTAACCTGATGTGTCGTAATGCCAGAGTTCGATCTCCTGTTGGAATTTCACCTCTAAGTGGAGTAGCAAGAAGTTCTCCGCTGGACCCAATTGGGTAATAGAGTTCTCAGACTTATTTTAAAAACATTAGTACTTTATTACATGCCTTTTTAATTGTTATATGTCAGGTAGTTTTAATATGTTTGTCCCAACATCCAACTAACAGTAGCAGAGACTCAACTAATGAGGCATGAGTCAGGCAGAAATCCCTGGCTCTACCTTAAAGGGTGTTGAATAGGGTACAAAGTCCATATTACCAATGAAAGCAGCTGATAATCGTGCATATCTCCTTAGAAGACCCTCTTAATGGAACCTGAAGACTCACCAGAGCTGACTGTTGGACTCTTCATAGCCATTCAGTCTGATTCATATACCCACAAATGTTTTTGAAATATCCATTTTAATACTACCCTCCAACTATTTGTAACTTTCATACCACATACTACTGAAATAATGAAAGGTGTTTATGGCAGATAAAGTTCAGTAGATGTTTTCATCATATCTTACCAATACTTCTAAACAACAGATTGAAATGATGTCTGGAGTAAAAGAAACTTGAATATTTTTATTGGAAGTTATTTATGTACAAGTATAATGTAAGACAGTCCTTAAAAATTGTAAGAAGTTTGACTTGAACTTAAATGATTCCTTGGCACTTCAGATATTGCATGAAGATCTTCATCTAGATATTTGATCTATTCTTGGCCAGTCACTGTAACTTTATATACATGATGTCAGGGTATTTAGTTAAGAAGCCTAATGAAGATTCTCTGGTACATGGATAAGGTTCTCTATATATGTAGATTACACTGAATAGCAACAGCAGCAGCACCACCAACAACAACAACAACAACAACAGCAACAAGACTTTTTCTTGTCATATGTACAAAATTAAGTGGATCTTATGTGTATTTTAATACTAAGTTCGAAAATAGCCTGAAGATTTTTCTGTCACCAGCTAGTTTTACGTGAAACACAAATTAAATATGGACTGATTTGAAAGTGTAATAACAACATTAGAGGAGAAATTTTTGTTCTGAACTCACTTCAAGTGTACTCACATATCATTTACACTTATATTTTGCATATGGGGCATTCTTTACCAATGTCCACCAGTAGTCACCCAGCATGCTGTGGCTCCATTTGCTCTGGTATCACCATTCCATCATGGATAGTTCCTAATGAAAGCATTCCCCATGCTCGTCACTAGCAGCACTAGAGTTTATTGGGAAAATTTCAAGATGTGAGTCCAAAAAAAAAAAACAATTTTAAGTTAATATATTGCATCCCATGAATTTCTAGGCATTGAAAATTCATCAAGAGATAATTCTTAATTTTCTGTCTTGAAGTTTCCAAGGAAGTGTATGGTCACTGTTTTAAATTCTTTCCAAGCTGTGCCTCAAATTCATTTCAAGTATCATCTGGCTTAAACAGAGGGTTGCACTGGAATCAGTGCTTGTTAAAGTGGCCAGTGTTTCTTCATGTAATGAGTTTCTCATGCTTGGCTATCCTATTCACAGAGAAGAAACAACAGAATTTCATTTTTCCAGCTGTAAGCCAAGCAGAAGTGTGATCATTTTCAAGTCTCAATAGATGTGCCAAGAATATCACAGCAAATATGTTGCACAAGATGATGTGTATTGTCCTGCCATTCCTTCATGTGAACAGTGTATGCTTTTGAAACTGAAGGGTATATGTATATGTCTACCAAGAAGCAACATGGCTTTCAAACTCAGCTTCTAGGAACTGATAAATGGGCATCATTTGTTTTGATCATGCTGATGGCCAGGGACTAACATGGAAGAGTCCACTTTATTACAGTACACTAAATTGCCTTCTTGAGAAAAGAAATAGTTTGTTGGCTTGCAGAACATAGATATCTTAGTGCATTTTTCTAGAACGTTCCAACCTTTCAGTCAAGAAGCCATAAGTTCAGATTGATTTTTTGACAGATTCGTGTTACAGACAAGATCACTCAGATCTGTTTGTGAGATTAAATGAGGTTGTCTTGAACAAGACAGTGCATGTTACTAGAAATCAGAAAAACCATGAGCCAAATCTGGTGAGTAATTGCCAGCTCTGCAACAAAATTTGACAAATATGGACATGTCCTGAACCTAAACCTGCAAGCAGTGACAGGGAGAACCTTAAAAAGTGGGGGAGGGACAAGTGGCAAAACTGCCCCCCTTCCTATTGTTTTGTAAATCCCACATAATCTAAATCTGTGTGTCACTCAAAAACTGTGGAGAAAAGTTCTATTTACGCTTTTTTAATCAGGTAAAGAAATATATCAAGTACCTAAAAATACCTGTGTGACAAGAACCTTCTTTACCATTGTTACTACAGACAACGTTTCACATTAAATAAAGCTGTTTTAATAATCAGATTATCTCAGTAAAGTGACTGTGAATGGAATTGATGATTTGATTTCCATTGGTGGTGCTGGGATTCCTCTCCCTGTCACCATGTCTGGGATGATTCTGGATCCACCCAGCTTTCTACCCAGTGGATGATGGTAAAGCAGATATATTTTAAACTGATGACTCACCTCAAACTGCTCTCTAGGTATCAGACGCTTGTAGCCTGCCTCCATGCTCCTACCCACAGTTTAAGCACAAGAGACTATGCATGTAGTAATTTAAATCAAGAAATCTTTTTGTCATTTTTCTAAATATACCTTGTACTTCAGGTATACATGTTTAATTAGTAATACAACATTTCACTTCTGTGTGTAACATAGTTTCCTCTTTTCCTCTTTAATAGGTATAGCCCAAATGTGGTCACCTTAGCAGAACAAAGAATTCATTATATACCATTTGCCTTCAATCTCATGAATATTCTTCCCAAATGCCAGCAAGCTGAATTGCTTTTCTCCATGTTTATCCAAGGTAGGTTCCTTTGTTATTACTAAGAGCTATTATATTCACAATCTGAAACTCAAGTAATTAGTTCAGATAATCGAGGGGCTTATCTTTGTCATAGATCTGATGCTTAGGCCTAAGTAATATATGTTATAGCCTGAGCCAGTTAAATCTGCTGCAATATGTGCTGGAGGAAGTTGAAGTGAGAGGCATGGAACAGGGAAGAGAAAGAAGCTATTAGCAAGTGTAAAAACATAACACAGGCAATGTTGAAATGTACCAGTGTCACTGAAAGCTAACATCGCAGTGTTTTTATTGGATTTGAGCAAGGGGCCTAGATGTTTTGTGAACATAAAGGAGCATAGCCACCACAATTTGCCACATAGTCAATCTATCTTTAGTCTGTTATTGCTAAGATTATTTAAACATACTATACACTGATCCTCCATCCTCTCAAATTCACTGGAGTTAGCAATGGTGCATTATGGACAATGAATGGCAGAGTGAATACCTTCATAGAAGCATGGCATAAAAAGGTAACTTGCTTGGCATTTGCACTAAAAAATTCTGTCTTTAGTCTGCAAGTGAACTATAACACCTCTGTGGTCCAGTGGTCATAGTTCCTGGCTACAGACCCAGAAGTCCTGGGTTCAATTCATGGTACTACCAGATTTTCTGAGAAGTTTTGGATCTGGAGCATTTTACAGTTCATTTATTGGGGTTTCATTGATTATGAAGTTGGGTGCCGTTACGTGGTCTGGGAACCATGTCGAGGTACTTGGGATAGAGAGAGGATAATGTTCCAGGTTGAGCAATGAGATTCTCTCCTCCAGGCTTAACGGGCCTTGCTCCGATGAAGAGGTCCTTGGATTACAGCTTGATGTTAATAATGCACTACACAGTTACAAATAGCGGTTACTTGTAAATTTAGTTGCACTTTTGTACACACTTCAAGATTTACAGCATTACGTCACAGCACAGCAGAAGATGTATGTCAGTCTCCCAGCCTGGTATCATACTGATTACATGACTGATCGTCTAATAATAATGCTCGCTTTACTGGGGGGTCAATCCCTTTAAATACTGAGAGATGACGTAACATCCAGAACTCTCTGTTTCCAGATCATTCTCAAAGTTTTCTCTCTTGTTCTTTTATTGAGAATGTTCTGAAAGCTCCTTTTATCAGACTGGCAGTGGGATGAGTAATCGTCAGCATACCACACCGACTATTAAAGAACCTTGTAGCAGCCTCGTATCTTCATATTGCTCATTGCGATTCTTAGAACCGTTAAGGCAAGACTGGGCACAAGTTTCATTTAGTATGAGATTGGTAATAAGTAACAAATATTAACTTTGAAATTTACATCGGTTAGTAATGACCTATTACAAACGGGATCCACTCAACCTTGTGAGGATAATTGAGGAGCTACTTTAATGGAAAAGTAGCGGCTCCGGTCTAGGAAACTGGCTGACCACTTGGCACCCTCTATCCGTGAAAGTTGGCACTAACTTCACTGGCAAGCAATGGTTGCTCGGTTGGTCAGCATTTGTGCTATTAATATTGTGATAGTATTCTGATTGGTATTTCTCTTATAATAATATAGTGTAAAAAGGTGGGTACTGTACAGTTGTTTGCTCAAGGTGTGACAAAATTCACAAAACATCTGAGTCATAATAACCAGTACCATGACTGACAGACCAAAAGTAAATACATCTAAGAACAGGTTACACATATTACTGTGTAAGGAAATTTATCAGTTGCTGAGGTAGCATGTGGATTTGTGTGCTAATATAGACTTAGGTAAGGTAGAATGTTATAATTTGTTTTCCTTTGCTTACAGATTTAAGTTTTATTGGCAGCTCAGATCCACTTGCAGTGGCAGCAGATGCTCCCAACGAGTTGCTCAGTGAACTACTCTTTGAACAACTGAAGCAAATTCATGACAAGGAGCTGCAGCTGACATTGGAGGACTGTATGTGGTTTCTGCAGCTGTTACATGCAAGAGAGCGTGATGGGACTGCTTATTCACTTCCTATCCCTGTGCCTTTGTCACATCATCCAGCAAGGAAGAAAGGAGGTTCATGTTATTTAAAAATTTAGAATATTATGACATGTCTGATCACTGCAGTTTTTTTTTTTATACAGTATACATAAAACCTGCTGCAGTCAGATTTGGCATTCAGATCTAATAATGAAGAAATCTTAAAATATTTGGAAGTAGAGTGAAATTTTTTCAAGCATCTCACAATTAATTGAAGCTCATAGATGGAAGAGTTAATGGGCCACATGTGTGCAAATGCTGACGTTTTTTACACAAAGAAAGCAATGGTTACACCAATGTCAATGAATTTTAGTAATGTTTTAGGTAGCATTTTGTTTTGAGATTAGTGTCTTTAGCATTCAAGTGAATTTTTTGTAATGTTGCACTGATATCATTTTACATAATTGTTTGTTTATTTTCTGATTTACTACAGACACAGAACAACACCAGGTCCACTCCTGTGCAAACAGTGTTGCCTCAGAAGCCACCGTGTGTGACAAACTTGATAAGGACCCATTGCTAATACCCAAATGGCGATGTTTCCTGAAAGGTCTCAGCTCAACCCATATTATTCTGACCTTTGTACCTGCCAGCTACAGTGACCTCAAACTTCTCATGTTCCCTGGACAGTCACTGGATGAAGCACATCCGAATGCTGTGAAGTTGGTAGGGTTGACTCCAGGGCAGACCAGAAATGAAGTAATGAATAGTGAGAAGAATGGTGAGAAATTGGCATGGGCTGACACCAGTTGTGTTGTGCCAGTTAGAAATACCCAAGTTCTTCCTTCAGTTGATCACAATACATCAGTTCTGTCTCGAAGTTCTTCTTGCGACACTTCATGCATCTTCAGCAAACTTCCGTTTGCCAGCCATCTTAGGTCTGATTCATGCTCTCCTCTCTCATTTGATCAGCATGAAGTTACAAGTGATCCTCCGTTTCGAATGAGGGCAAGTTCCTGGGATACTGTCACAAAAAACGCTAAGGATAGCTTGGACCGTATCCGTACAGGATCCATGGACTCTAAAATTAAAATAAGGCGTCCTTTCACTGGACCATCTCTTAGGTTACGTGATGCAGCAACAGATGTGGAAGAAAGCAAAGGCCATCATGTAAAATATCCTTTTACTGCATCACAGAAAATTTCCTCTGCTCCCCCTAATCCATCTCTGGATTTAAATTCAGGACAAGTACTTTTACATGTTCCAAAGTATGGTGCCCTTTCGCTGCCAATTTATGTTTATGACTGTCCTTTGGCCATGCTGATGGATGTTCTTGTTTATAGAGATATAGATGATGAGTCTGGTAATAAAGTGTGCAAAGACATATACCAGGACAGAACTTTCAAGCTACCTAGTGTTATGAATCTTGTGCAAAACCAAAGACAAGGCCAGTTTGGTGTGGAAGAGGGAACAGTTGGTATGCATTTTAACACAGATGATGGGACAATTGGTGAAAGTGAAAGGGACTCATACCAGGTGGTAGGAGATAAAGTAGAGACTCATACAGCTGCAAAGCATATCAGTCCTGAACCAAAGTCAGAAGATTCTGATGGAATGTCAGGTGAGTAATTAAAGTAGATTCTAAAGGGTTCTGGTGATGGTGTATAACACTCAGAATTACTGGGTTTTTGGACATTGGCCACTGTGTGGTATTCTAAAAAAACTAAAGAACACAGTGTTTTTTAAACTGGATTTGTTTCCATCCTCAGGTGACTCCTTTCTACTGCTCCACTCCTTAATCAGCGTTTCCTGGTTATTCAAATTATGAATATCTAAGTTTCATCTGTGCTTACATTCTAGGTTTACATAAGTACTTCTCTGTTAACACTGATTTAAATGCTGAATTTTGATTTATTTTCTTGCTTTCATTCTTCTTCTTTTAACACTTCCCAATTTAGCTTTTCTTCCCCAGTTCTTTAATTTAACACTGGATACCAGTTTTGTATCCTGTAGGGGATAACAGATTGTGAAAGCTTCCATAAATTTTAAATTTTCAAAATGTTACCATGTTGATGTCTCTTTCGTAAGTTCTCTTGTTGTTTTGGCCTCTGTTTTGTGACTTTTGCTGGGAACGCATGATGTACTTCCAATGAAGGTTTCAGACATGAAATGCAAGTTACGTTCCATTTTTAAGCCATTTGTAGTGTGTAATGCTAAATATATAGTTTTGAATGTTGCCTGGTCTGGTAAACTGGTGGAAATCTGTTAGTTTCTGTTGTAATGAAATTATAGGTAATCCTTGAGATTGCACATGCATTGTTTTAAGAAGGACTCTTTTTTTTGTGTGTTTTGTTCACTTTCTGTTCCTTTCATGTTGAAAGTTTTAAATCCTGATTTATTTTAGATGTTCCAAGTCTAAGTCAGCACTGTAAGGTGGTGAGCCTTGCATATTACAAGGTGTTTGTTTCCTCCCTCTTCAAGTCACTTCATTTGAATAACACAGTCCATGCTCTTGATGTCCAGGCAGCTATGGATGAGTGTGAAGAAGCGCTTATAGAAATTGATATCACCAATTTCATACAGGTACACTTTACCATTAACTGGAAGCACTGTTAGGAATGTGTATAATATCCACATATTTAGTCTTATCTTTGACATTCTTTAAAATTGTGATATATTTGTAATATAGAATCTACAGTGTACTGAAGCAGAAATGATAACGTAATTGAGTTAACTATTTCCTTCTTCCATGGATTTCAGCACAGACATCACTGAATATATGGTGTAAATTGATCCTAACTTACTAACAGAGTTTAGGGATAGCTGTCCCCCCATTGTAGATAATTCTGCAAGTCTGAGTAATGCATGGCATGCTTTTCTGTTCTGAAACTTTTTGGTACCTAACAGTGAAAATGTGTATGTCCAGCATTACAGATGTATATTTTAATGTCTATTCTTAACATTAATATGAAATATATATTTGGATCTCTACCAGGTGTTGATTGAAACTATTTGACTTTTATTTGGTGCAGACTGTCTGTGGCCATCTGAAGGACTTTTGTATGAAAACAAAAGTGGATGAAATGAAGCAGAGGAGTAATGACAACAGCCCACAACATGACCCAAAGGCTGTAGCAATAAGTGGAGAGTCTGTAGCAGACTCAGAGCCCAAGTTTCCTTTGCTGTTGCTTCAGACTCATGCTCCATGTCAACAACTTGAACTCCTACACAGACAAATCAAAACTAAATTTATGCAGGTCCTCACAGTCATGTTTAGGCCAGTTCCTTCTCACCCAGAGTTCTACTTCTGTACTCAAAATTGGGAAAAGAATCAATCAGTAAGTTTGTTTTTTATTGCTAGTTAATCTCACCTTGATTGTTAACCATTTCAGAATCATTCAAATACTGGTCAACCTCACTTAGCCTCATAATTTACCAGAACATATTGTGGCATGTATACCCATTGCTAGGCAACAAGAGATAAAAGTTGAGACTATCAGAGCATAGGAAGACTGATATGGGGACTGGCATCTGGCTGTAAGGCGCCATGGATGACTGAAGAAACAGACCCAGGGCAATGGTGGGTCCCAGCAGAAGTTGGCTGCTGCCCGAGGACAGGTGACCCAATGTGCTGTTCCTGCACTGCATAAGGGATGTAGTTGTAGGGGACCTGACAAAGCAACTGACAACAGCATCAAAGGATGAAGCGGGAGACATCAGCTACGTCTAGGAAACTAGAGGGCATTGAACAAGACTGTAAGCCAGACTCATGGACCGGAGGTCACAAAGCAAGCAGTTGAGATTTCCCTTCAGTTGCAGTAGGTGAGTGACTTTGCATCGTTGAGAAGTTGGCTTCCTTCAAAAGGAAAGAAGAGATGTCAAATGCACAGCCCTCAGAAAAGAAGAAATGGGGTTGAGTTACACCAGTAGGCTATTTGAGACGAATAGCCTGAAGGAGGGAGCAGTTTGGCATGTAGACCTATTGCCAGGCAGTGACCATAAAATGAGCAACTATACAACAGCTGGCTGTTACTAGGCAGAGGCCCATAAACAACAACAGAGGAACAGTGTTTTCTGTGCAGTTTGTGCGAATGGCTGCATTTGCAACAGTCGAATACATCAAGCCATCGATAAGCAACAGTTGCATTGCAACAGAGAAACATGGTATTATGTTCAGTCCATGCTGTGGCTACATAATGTGTTGAGTCTTGAAGAGAAGTCAGTCAATTAAATACCTACTGGGTTTCAGTTTTGAGTTTTGCTATGTTAAGCTGGTAACTGGGGCTCGGGACAGTTTGGGAACCCAGAGGAAGCCACTATCTAGCAACGGCAGTGAACATGTGACTGTGGACACTAGAATGTGTTTGCATGTGTGACAGTGAATTGTCAAGTGTGGTCATGCGTCATATCAAAGAGTCTAGTAAATGCGGTCATCAATCCAAAGTCCATCTATAGTCACTGTCACGAGACAATGTAATGTCTACACAATTGTTGAATCTAATGAAATAAATGCCCTATATTCATCTTTACCGTGTGGTTATATATTGTCACTTGTCAACAGTGACTAAGATGTGGGTTTGGATTGGTCATTGGATTTATTAATAACCTGTAGAGCATAACTACAGTTAATTATTACATTGTTGCTGCTTTACACAATGTACAATCACTCCACACTAATCTCTTCAGTCTATCTGCACTAGTCTTCATGGGTTTATAACACAGGAACTATAACAGTCTCACTGAATCACACAATTCAAATATTACACATAAAGTCTTCTAATCACATATTAAGTCTTCATCTAGTTCATCTTCATGTCTGAACTTCCTGTGGCTATCTCTTTTGTTGCTTGTTCACATGCTTCTGCCACTATTATTAGTAACTTGTGACTGCTTTACTTATATAGCCGAGGAACGGACATGGACCTATAGTAAACATATCACGTGATCACTATCCAGGTAGCCTATTGGTGCGTCAATCAGACCTACAGGAAACATGTCACGTGATCACTATCCACTGTTGTGACATCACCGCTGTCACAGAAAACACAACTTCCTCTATTGTTGTGTAACCTAGCAATGGACTGTATACCAAGAATCTGTCTCCATGGGAACTTGTTTACCAGCATGTTGCCTACCAATGGGTGTGCATGTAACAATATTGAAGAATATGGTTATAAAATGTTCAAAGCCACATAGTTTAAATCCAAAACTGTTTGTATTTACATAATCCTAGTTAGTTTATTAAAGAAACAGCTAATTTATATTGTATGAAAATATTCATTGCAGGTAAAACAAGTTGAACTGAACGAGTGTGATAAACACAGTCAGAAACCTTCAGAACCGGATAACGAATTGGGCAGCATGACCTTTCATTCTGAAAATGTGGAGTTCAGATCTCAACGTGATAGTTCCATAGGTAATTAACAAACAGACTCTATATATCTGATGTTAGAACCTTCAAGTTCTACATTTCAAACACAAATGCTGAGTTGCTTTTTGAACTTGTTCTTAGTCAGTTTAATGCAGTCTGCATCACCATAGTCACTTTAAGATCCAGTGTAATATTATCCTCCTGCATTCATCTGAGCCTTGAATGTTGTTTTTCAATACTGAGCCCAATAATTCTGTGTTCTTTTCTTGTCTATCCCTCTGCTACATGTCTAGGAGAGCCTGCCTCCTTGGCCAACTATACAAATCATACAGTATGTCCACAGTGAGAGTGTTATATTTTTATAACAGTTGTAGATAATTGAATTAAATAAAACAGTGAAGTTGCACATGTATACTTCTTGTAGTATGACAGATATGATAATATTCTCTCTTTGTCTGAACACTTTCAAGCATTTCTGATAACACATTTTCAATAGCTGCTCTAGTCCTGTGTTTTAATAGTTCAGCACTGTCTGTAGGTCCAGTGTCTCCATGAACTGCACATCTTATATATCTATAGAACATAAACTTAAATGATGGTTAAGTCTTGGGTCCTAGTATCCCATGAAATAAGACTGCATCAGACAACCTCGAAGTTATTCATTTAGAGCAGCTTTAGTATAGTTTCTAAAATTGAATTTTGGACCTTCACAATACTAGGGAAACAAGAAGAGTTAAATAGGATAGAACAAGTAACAGTGAATACCTGTATGTATGGATTGTTGATTGATATTAAATGATAATAACGATAATAATGATAATATAAAGGTGATAAGGCTTGAATGGGCTGGACACATAATATGTGCCAGCGAAAATAGAACAATTAAGCAAATACTTAATACTAAACCAGAAGGAAATTGGAAAGTGGGAAGACCAAGATTGAGATGGGGAGAATGTGTGTGTGTGTGTGTGTGTGTAAGAATTTTGGGTGTAAAGAACTGGAGGATCATCACATCGAATGGAGGAGAATGGCGAGCAATCCTGAGGAAGGCCACGGCTCACAAGGGACTGTTGTGCCGCTGATGATGATATGTATGTTGGTCTGACTAGTTACCACAAGTAATATCAGACATGGGTATACAAGAATGTTGGTAACATTGATGAGTAGTTAAATAGTAACAATAACAGACACAGGGATACATGAGTATTGGTAATGGCAACCGGCAACTAAAGAGGAATTTTGATGAAACAAACTGGAAACTAAACAGTAAAGAGGCTGTGCAATAGCTCAAGCAGTTAGTTGCTGGCTTCCCACGATGGTGGCCCGGGTTCGATTCTCGGTCTGGTCAAGTGGGATTTGTGGTGGACAAAGTGGAGCTAGGGCAGGTTTTCTCCAAGTACTTTGGTTTCCCCTGCCAACCTTCATTCCACCAAATTCTCCATCATCATAATCACCTGGGGCAGGTACAATAGACCAATCAGTGGCCGCCGTGCCAAGTGGACCAAGCTGGACTCCACCCCCCACTAAGCAAAACAGTAACAATGTCAGATGTGGGCACAACAATATAAGCAACATAATATGATGACAGTCTTGGCATGGTTGAAATCTATGGCAAAGAGCAAAGAATGTGAACAGTTCCTTGCATAATACATACTACGCCTTTATACATACGTGCCATTCCTTCATTGAATGGAAGCAATTATGGTATACATAATTGAAAATTCATATGATCAATATGTGAAACAAGATAATATTTGGAGATCATTGTTATTCTTATGGTATATTAAATAGGCATCTGTTGTACAGCAGTTCAGTAAGTTATATTTTTGAGTGTATGGTATTTACTGTAACTGCTTTTCTATATCCTACTGACTGGAATTCATGGAATGCATATAATATGTCTGCCCATGTGTCAACCCATATCATCCATCCATCCATTATCTGTAATGTATGCGTATTTTCCTCTTTGATCTATATTCAGCAGTGTTAGTGGTACTCATGCTTCTTTGCAAGCTGGCTTTCTTTTAATTTTGCAATCCCTGTATAATGACCAGTATCACTGTGAGTTCTCCATAATATTAGATGTCAGTCACAGTTATAAATGCCATAGGTGATAAGAAAGCTCAGCATGCGCTCTCTGTTGAAATCATATACAATATTTGGATACAATCTTCTTTTGAGATTATCATTCTCATTTCCAGGACTTGTAGGAATGGGAACTGGAACCATGAGGGAAGGCCAGGGTGGCTTGGTGACACCAGATGATGCTCACACCTCAGTAGTATCTAACATGGACTCGGACAGTGTGAGCGATTTGAGAGATGAAGAAACTGCTGAGGAAGTGTCACCTCTTTTCCTTCATCTGACATGTTCAGTTCGTTCCAAAGGAAAGATCAGCAGTTGTTCAGTTCATGTATTACCAACATGCCTTGGTTAGTATATCATCATCTTACGATCAGGAGTAAAACAATGGGAAATGTTTCCTGTATATACAAGGGTTGGATAAAAAGTAGTGGCAGCACTGCTGTAACATGAAAGATGTGCATCAGGTGGCACTAGCACCATCTGTAGCTGATAGCAGAAGTTCAGTTGAAGTAGTGCAGTGAGTGGTTCAGGTTGTGTTTCATTGATTTACATTGTGCATCATCTTGAAATGCAGGAGTCCAGTTCAAGCACCCTAACAACATGTTTACGAAACAAGAACAATGCACCTGGATAAAAATTGAAGTTGCACAAGGTCATAGTGCACAAAACTGTTATCAAGGACTGTGAGAAACATGTGGTGCTGCTGCTTTGCCATATCGCACAGTGGCACGATGGGTGAAATTGTTCCGTGAAGGGAAGGTTGCCATTCAGGACAGCCGTCATTCAGGACGACCCCATGTTGACAACCACACAATTCAGCTTGTTGCTTCTTTGCTGGATGTCGATTGTCGATGGGCTGCGTGGGAGTTAGCTGCTGAGGTAGGCATATGTCACAAACCCGTGCTCCGCGTTCTGCACAATATTCTTGGATACTGCAAAATTCCAGCACTTTGGGTACCCCATACAATGTCCGAGGTGCAACAATGGCAACATTATACAATTGCACAGGACTTGTTGGACCAGTACCAGAGGAAAGGTGACAACTTCCTGGGAAGGAGTGTCACTCTGGGCGAAACTTGTGCTCACTCATACGAACTGCATTTGAAGCAACAATCAAATGAACGGAAACATCCTGGCTCTCCTCGTCAAAAGAAAGTGTGCCCTACACAGAGTAATGTGAAGATGATGTTCATTGTGGCATATGACATTGATGGAGTGATACTGCACCACACTGTACCTCAACGACAGACAGTAAACGCTGCCTACTACTGCAATTTCCTGCATAATCATATTCATCCAGCACTCAGGAGAGAGCAACGACACTTGTTGGCAATGAACCCCATCATCCTTCATGACAATGCAAGGGCTTATACTGCTGATGCTGTCAAGGATCTCCTTTGCCACTGTTGATGGGATATACTGCAACATCCGCCATAATCACCCGATATGAGTCCATGCTGTTATGATCTCTTTGCTAAAATGAAAGACCCACTGTGAGGGACATGTTACAACACAAGAGAGGAGATTATTCATGATGTAGGGCAGTCACTGCTGGGCATCAACAGAAGTGGACGCACCAATGGTGTACAACGCCTTCCACAAATTTGGCAGAAGGTGGTACATATGGGGCGCGATTATATTGAAGGAATGTGTTTACCTCAGGTAATAAAGTCATTTCAGAACTATAGAGGTGTTGCTACTACTTTTTATCCAAGCCTTTTATTGTAATATTTACAGTTTATAAATACCATTGTAATGTTTCTCAGCCAGTTTAGAGATCCTGATGAAAATAAAACTGCACATTCTATAAAGCTCATGTACATGTTGCTATTAAATTTGTGACACTTGGGGGAAGTACTTTGTGAGCAATGTAATGCAAAGATTTTGTTACCTTTCTGCATTGCTGCAGCCATTGCATGATTTGATTACAGTGGTTATCATTACATCATCTTCATCATTTACATGTGGAACCGTAAGTAATTCTAATGGTGAAATTTGCTGTAACTTTGTGAACCTGCCAAGTTTTTGTGGGGTTGTGCTTCACTTTTCGGTATTATCAGAGAAATCTTCCATGCCTTGTTAGTGCTTGTGTTCTCACACTTGTATATGAAATTTTACATGGATATTCTGCATAATAAATCTATGTTGAATTGATCCTTCACATCTTTTGGCTTGATAGGACCAGATAGCTAATACCTTACTGCACTTTCAAGATGTAACTGTTTTGGATGTTGAAGCTATTCCAATGTTTATCTGTCATTGCAATTGCTATTTTTGTGATGATTGTGAGAATGAAAGGCAAGGTAATTAAATATGTAGTTCTCATGGTTGGAGGTTGGAGATGGAGCAGCAGAATGATATGGTATCTATTAGTATGCAGTAGGAAGGGATCCTGCGGTTAGAAGGAAACATTGGGGCAAAGGAGGTGAAGTCATGTATTATGTGTCCTTTCAGCTCTTGGTTCAGAAGCCTGGAGTTTGCAAGATCCTGTGAACCTTTGGCAAGGGGCACATTGATCAGACTAGTTGTGACATTTCCACTGGTCTTTGGGGACGTCAAAGACCCCAGACTAGAAAACTTGTGGTCAACTATAGTCAGACACTTCACCAAGACTTATCACAGCTTTGAGAGGTTGAAGTCCTGGCTATGATCTAGACATCCTGTCCTCACATCAACAGAGAAGCCATCTAAATAAGTACCTGCAAACTTTAATTGTGAAAGAAAATAAAATCCTAGCAAACCCTGGTTTTACCTCTTTTACTAACATTTTTTCTCTTATCCACAGTACCCCTTCTTTGCTGGATAGTTTGCTGCAGTTTTTCCTTCCATACTTTTTATCTCTGTCTTTGAGATCTATGTGTATTGATCTACCCTCCCATTCTGCCTCACACTTACACTAAAAGCAGCAACTGTAGTGTGCCCCAAGCTACAAGAACAGCTTCAACACACAACATGGCTGAACCCTAAGGATTGAAGCTGTACTTTAGACTTAAGACACAGAAACCTAAGGACAGTATAGCTAATGCTTAACATGTAATGGGGAATGTTCTGTTCTTGACTTCATGACCTTCTGTCACCCTGATAAAGAAAAGAAAATGTTCTGTATTCTAATTCAGCATTATTTAACCTCTTACGCTTCTTTTTTTTACTGCTAGTGTGGTGGAAATAAGTCCCTTGTACTGTGGCCACTTCTGGCCTATTGTACAGCCCCAGATGATAGGTGAAGGTGATTGTGGAGCAGTTGACGGAATGAAGATTGGCAGGGGAAACCGAAGTACTTGGAGAAAACCTGCCCCAGCGCCACTTTGTTCACCACAAATACCACTTGACCAGACCCGGGATCGAACCTGGCCTGTCGCGATGGGAAGCCAGCGACTAACTGCTTGAGCTGTGGCACGGCCTTTTAAATATGCTACTGGGTGGTTCACCTTCCCAATTGATTTTCTTTCACTTTTAATGACTTTGTTGAATGCTAATTTATAGTGTTCCATTCTGTACTTCCTTAATCACATTCAGATTAGATATTTTCATTTGACATGTGTTCTTTATTCTTCACAGGCCAACATTAGTATTGATGGTGGTGGAACGCCACTCATACATAGTTCATACTCTTGAATGGTCTTTCAGCATTGTATGAATGACCATACATGGGTCCTTGTTGATGGGTTTAACTCATGATGTTTGGTGGTTGACTTCACTTGTGGCCATGATATGCTTTATAACATGGTGAGTTACAGTATACCATACTGTTACCATGGAGAAACCTCTGGAAGAGCTCTTATATCTTTCTGGAGTATGCTGAGCAACCCTTCTTATGATCACTTCATCCTTTGTAAGATTTGGATATACAGTGTTCTGAGACTTGTAGGAATTGGCATTGTATTCTCAGTGTTAGATGGTCAGGGACCAGCTATGGTTAATGTGAGAAATGACCATGCATGGGATCATACAGCAGCATCTTAAAGTCATGACTCTACATTGGGATAAGTACAGGATTTCCATTTACTGCGACTTAGTTAAATATGGACAGCCAAGTAATCAGTGGGTCAGGTTTTTTCACAGGTCAGCATGAAACGTGATGAGCTCATCACCTTGCTTCTTACAAATAATTTATAATCTGATTGCTGATCTGATACAGTTTTTTGCGTGGTTGATGTAACCTTTTGTCTTGATTTTTATGCAGCTTTTTGTTTTGGTAAGCATGATTTATATGTATTGTTTACCTGTAGAATTGCCTGTATATGTTCTTTGCTGATAGTATTGCGATATGACGAGTCCTGTATCAATGTATTTTGATTTATGGGAAAATGAAATGAAGAAAGAGAGAAAGAAAGAAAGAAAGAGCTGCATGCCTGGAAATGTGGCCAAGATTCAAACTCAATTGATCCATATTGAACAGTTACAGCCTGAGACTTCTTTCACACTGGGGATACAAAACAAGACAGTAGAATTGTTTTATCACATTTCTAAGGTGCTATCAATAATGGGAAGATATGTCTTAGTGTAGGCCTACATCCTCTTCTTAAGGCCTCTGATACCATCATGTTATTGTACGTAGTTGATCATCCCAGTTTTTGAGTGCATCTCAGTCTGTTGAAACTTAATTTAGGTAATAATAATATTTTATTATTATTTTGTTACCAGGAGACACGTGGTAGCATAATTGATTGAGGCACTGTGCTGCAAGTCGAAAGGTCTTGGGTTTCAGTCGCAATGAGGTGGATTTTTTTTTTCAATTTACCAGATCCTTCCAGCCACACTATGTCCGAGGGGTTGACTCGGCCTCTAACAAAAAATGAGTACCAGGAATCTTCATGGGGGTAAAGGGTGGCCGGCACGTAAGGCAGATAACCTTACCGCCATCTCTGAGCCAGTTGTGTAGAGAAAATTTGATAGCCTTGACTTCTCACAACCCTATGGGTCTTCACAGCCTGTTACAGGTATAGCTTTACCTTTTTACCTTACTGTTTTCTTACCAGGTGAACTGGTTCAGTCCTGGGATTCCGATGAGACTGAGCTGGACATGAGAGCACTGCAAGTGACGCTTGACATCCTGTGCCTCACACTTCCAAATGAATCAGAAACAGATGTTGTGGTTGAAGACAGAGCAAAGCATCTTAGCAAAGTGCCTCCTCCTCCTTTCTCTCAATCAGTGCCACATGTGGAGGAATGTGATGAGCTTGAAGTAGACAAATGTGAAGCGAATCATCCTGGTGGCAGTGTAGGTTCAGCAGAATGTTCTGGCTCTCCCGAGCCACAGTGAGTATTAAGTCATGTATTCTAAAGTGACTTCACATTATAATGATTATTTAAAGACTTTTGTATGTCCTAGTGAGGTACAGTGTACATGAATGGACCTTCCACTTCTAGACAGGGCACAAGAGAGAGTTTTTTGGGTATGATAGTTTGATAGATATATACCAGTATTTCAGAAGAACCCTCTGACTCATTAGATATAGGGGAGAAGAATTAATGAACGTATAGTTAAGAAATTTGATGCAAATGGGAAGTTGATAGTTTAGCTTTCTTTCTTTCTTTGATCTAATAATTTTGACATTCTTCATCAGACAATGTTTTGTGCTGCTTAAACTCATACTAACATAAACTTTCTGGTAAGGTTGTGATATTTTATCCTGTACTTGTCCAAGTCCCATTGATCTCCACATTGTTACCCAAGTTTTCTAGAACTATAAAGTTGTTCTGATTTTAATATTATACAGTTCTTTAACGTCTGTGTCATTTAGCTTCTTGAGATCGAATCTTTTCTAACCAAATTTTTTCACTGCTTGTTTACTTACTGACAGTATCCATTTTCAGTTATTCTGAGTATATCTAAATAATGTGTCTTTGTCCAGTGTTTGTGTCTACTAGCCATCCCTGAGACTGGTGAACCACCCCTTGTCGTCTCTCCATGACTGCTCATTAAAGAATTTGCAGTTACATAATGAATAGAAAAAGTAATATTTGTTCTTATGTACTAATTTCTTGGCATGCATTCTGTTTAAATTACTTGCATTTTGTAGGAACTGATCTTTTGCAGCAGGGATCTTAGGGAATGATTCCTTCTACATCCATATTAGCTGGAAGCCATCTCTGTCCCCAACTTGAGGAGACACCATGCTGAACTCTCATTTTATTTTATAATATAAATTATTAGTATGAAGAAAAATACAACAGTTACAAGAAATGATATAGACAAGTCTGTGCAGCAATTTAAAATTAATAAAAATATTTAACTAGAACATAGGACACATTTTATAACTTGGAAGAAACACACATACACACGCACATGCATGTACATGTATATAAAACAGCTGTAAGAAATAATTCAGACAAACTTCCATAACAGTCAAGGTTTATAAGGAATTTTATCAAGAGCATAGAATTCTTACATAGCATGTTCACAGAGAGATCTGATTTCAATTCAATCCAGTGAGAAAATTAAATTATAATCATATTCTTTTATGGTGATAATTACAGCTTGGAAATAAGTCAGACAACTCTTGCAGTAGCAGTTACTGAGGTTTTCAGATATTTGTGCAAATGTTACCTCACCCATATCCTGAAAAATACACATTTGTCCCTTCCACAAGTACAAAAGTGTAGAAATTTAATTAAGAATTATTTATAAAGACTTCCAGGTGATAAAGGAGGTGCTTCTCATCTGTACATGCTCCAACAGCTCAAACACCTGCCTGAGTATCAACATAAAGCAGTTACAGCATTTGTGGAGAAAGTAAGATCTGTTCTTATCCTCTAAATTTGTGGAACCCATTCTGTTTAAATTATTTGCCGTTTTTTTGGTAATTGATCTTTGGAACACAGATCTTAGAGAATGGTGTCTTATATTTCTCTTCTCACAGAACTTCATAAAAGATTGTACATGTCACATAGAAGCACACTGTGATTGTAATCTCATGAACTGATTGGTGGTTGGTTGGTTTCTATTGCAGCACATAGACAGTTTACTCATTTATGTTTTTAACTTCATCTGGTTGGCATATTTGTAACTCATTTTCTATTCAGATTCCATTTAGGTGAGTTACATTATTCGTTTTACTTTAGTTGGCTTGGGTTATTTGAAATTTTTCCCACTCTTGTCAACTAGAGGCCTCCTCAATTGTGCGACCACAGTAGCATGTAGGAGGACAGTAGGGAGCTTTGTGGAGAACCAAAAATAGCATCTAATTTTGCCTGTACTTATCTCTTATCATGAATGAAAAGTTCTTTTACATGCTGTAAATATATGACATGGGAAAGGTTCTTAATCTCATAAGCTTGATGTCAAAGAATTTTGTATTTCTGAGCAACTACTGCCATCCAAAGAAGGGCAGTGCTTCATGAAATTAGTTGAGAGACTTTGAAATATGTCTGTTTAGAAGTATGTGGTAATTAATATATGTAGGTTGTACCATAAGTCATGAGCAACATTTTTTTGCATGCAACCTGGGAACAGCAAACAAAAGAGAGTACGGTGGTAGGTGGAACCAGCTTTTGTGTTAACATTGAGTGTCTTGTGACATCAATAGCTTGCACCACATGACCAGTATCACTCCTAACAAAATGGCCGACAACAATATGTCGTTTCACCAGCCTGCTGTCATCGAATTTCTTGTGAAAGAGGAAATCCTTGCTGCAGAAATTCACCAGAGACTTCAGCGTGCTTATAGAAGTGTGTGCATGGGTGCGAGCAGTGTTCAAAGATGGGTGAAACATTTTAAAGATGGGAACACCAGCATTGAAGATTCGCCTCGGAGCAGTCATCCTTGAACAGCCTCAACTGAATGCAACAAGGAAAGAGTGGATGAGATCATTGAAGATGACAGGCGTGTGACTGTGGACACAATAACCCAAAAACTTGGAATAGGGCACAGTGCAGTACAGGAGATGATTGAAAGCTTGGGCTATAGGAAAGTTTGTGCTCGTTGGGTCCCGCAGTTATTGACCAAAGACCACAAAAGTCACATTGGAAGCAATTGCAAAGATCTGGCACCCTCCAACTACCATCTTTTTGGATTTGTGAAGGATCAGCTGTGTGGACAACGTTTTGAGACAAGGGAGAAACTCCCAGAACGCTGGGAGAAATGTGTACAAAGAAGTGGCGATTATGTGGAAAAATAAAGAAGGTCTGTAGATTGAGGTGGTGTATTTGGTTTGTCAATAATAAAGCATGTTACTTTACAAAAAATTGTTGTTCATGACTTTCAGTATGACCCTTGTAAATTTCATTTTAGCATGCAAGAAAGTTTCATTGTGGACTATGGTTTCCTTTTTATAGATTGAGTGGCTGATGCGTGATGAGATTGCTGCCTTCCTGCTGGACACGTTTCCATTGGACAAGACTACGTTAGCCTTTGTTGCAAATCATGTTGCTAGTTCACCTGATCGGCCAAGTTGCTTAATGGAACGTGTTCAATTACAGTTTGTTTATGGACCTGAACGTAGCCTTGAGCACTTTTTGCAGGTGAGAAAAGCTGTTGTTCATGAATGTGGAGCATTTTGTGGTACAGCATAAATAGGTGGTATGTGGGAATTGGGAAGTCTGTTCACTGTGGGGTGAATTCTTATGAAAAAGCTTGTTAAAATATAAAAAAATGGATGTCAAATTATGCTTCATTTCTTCTGGAAAGTTCTGCCAGATAAGGCAAGAACTGAAAAATGTATCAAATGCCATTTTGAAAATTTATGTGCATTGGTCACTATACATATTACCACTGTATAGTGATCTGCTGTTGCTGTTGAATTTTGATACATACTTTCTGCATGATAACAGAGATTACACACCTCCTCTTCAGAACACTACACTTACCACTTGAATTGTTTTGGATGCTGTTTCTGTAAGAAAAATCTCGAAAATATGAGTATAACATACTTAGTTAAAAATATATAAAACCTTGAAAGGTTTTCGCTGCATATTTTGTAATATATGTGTTATAATCTAATATACTCACAGAAAATAGTCATTAATTATGTCATAAATGAAGGCAGTTTTCTGTATAGCAACTACTTTCTTTGCCTAACAATCAAATATAGTAAAATTAAATGCCCCCACTTAATCACATACTGAGGCTGAATAAATCAGAGGCACCAAGTTGCCATGTGGCCATAATAGTCATGTGTTAAATGTTTCAAAACTCATGGCTTCCATTTCTGATACTGTCCCAATTTTATTTGTTGGTGTAACCAGAGGCCTTTCGCTTCAAAATACATCATCACTATGCTAAAAAGTGTGAACATAGTAATATGTTTTAAGTGGCTATTTGAAGTTAGTCATGGTCATGCCATATGTGCATAAATGGGGCTGTCCTTGTTGGAAAACTCTGTGCTCCAAACATGTTCTGAGTGTTGCTTGGTTGGTACTTATGTTTAAATCTTTGTGAGGAACCCCTGTGATTAAGTTGCATATTATACTCTAATAATTAATACAGATTTTTCAAGGTAACAATTTAAAACTGTCTCTTGTCGCAGAGTCACATGCCTGTGAAAATGATGGATAGCTTACAGCTAACAACAACAAATAATGTATTGTAAATCCTTTATTTTTCCCTTCATATTTTTACATTTCTGGAGAGGCAAAATTTCAAATTTCTTGAGGTCTTTGGTCAATATTCTAAAACAAACATAGTGTAGAAAAGACATGTAGTTTATATGGTGAGATGTCATCAGCATCCAATGAATTTAATTGGTGTACTTGGGGGTTAACAAGATGGAGGCTTATAAAAATAGTTTCAGTGGAAGTCCTTTATAATGAGAAGGAAAACAACATGAAGAATGGGTGCTATAGCAAATATTCATTATAAGCAATTTAGAACAAGGAACCATAGAAATTACTTCAAAAATCAAACTGTGAATATTTTTGATAATGTCACTGTAACTGATGAAAACACAGGAGTTTATAAAAGAATTAACAGTTACTCTGTACAGTATAAACTTTATGTAATTATCTCATGAAATTTGAACTCATTCACTTACTTCTATCAATGAGGTGTATGAGAAAGTTCACAGAATAGGTCTAAAAAAGAAATGTTGGCTTAACTTACTCAATTTTGGCTGCCATCTCCTTCAAAATAGTGTCCTTGGGAAACGTATACAGCGATCCCATTGTTTTTTCCAGGTTTCAAGATCACTGTAGAAGTAATTTTCTTTAATACTGTTAAGTACCGCTTGCAAATCCCTTTGAATGTTGGACACTGTTTCAAAATGTTGTCCCTTCAGTTTCATTTTCAATTTGGGAAACAAAGCGAAATCACAGGGGGCTAAATCTGGAAAGTAGGGAGGACGGGGAATGAGAACCTGTTGTAGTTAGTCACAAAATCTGTGGTTTTCAGGGACGTGTGGTCAGGTGCATTGTCATGATGAAGGAGCCAGTTGTGGTTGCACCAAAGTTCTGGTCTTTTTTGTGACACATTTTCTCTCAGGCATCTCAAAACATCACAGTAAAATCTGGAGTTGACCATAGTGTTAGGAGGAACAAATTCACAGTGAACAACCCCCCTTCATGTTGAAAAAAATAATGAGCATGCTCTTTGTTGAACTCCAGACCTGTCACCCCTTTTTGGCTCTTGATGATAGTGGGCTCTTCCACTGTGACAATTGTTGCTTTATTTCTGGATCATAACTGTAAATACAACTTTTATCACTCATTATAATCCTCGAAACATGAATGCCATTCAAGAACCGCTGTCCAGCTTAAAAAATATTCTACAAAAGCCACGTGAAGCTTTTCAAGGGTTTTGGTAGCGGATTTACCAAGCTTCATGCAAAACTCAATGCAAACGTGTTGCTTGATTTTGTCATCCTTACAGAATAAACGAAACACGAAATCAAAAAAGCGTTCATGTAAAGACAATCTATGTTCACAGCACGATGTCACTTGGCAGGCTGATGCAATATGCTTGCAGAAGTGTGACCTTGGCCACCCCTCTCATCTTCTTTCATCAAGGCAGTTAGAACAATAACAGTGCGGGAACTTTCCAATAGCATTTACAATCACATTTAAAATTCATAAAATATCACTGAAATCACATTTTCTGTTTATTTGTTGCAACACATTTTGGTCTCACAAGGCCATCATGAGGCAACTGTTAATTGATTGAAATCACTGAACTACATGGGCTCACATGTCAGTATATTTACATACTGTTATTAAATGCTGAATTTTTTTCTCCCACTTTAATCTAATGTTATGGGAAGGAATTCTATCACGCTTTTTAACACAGTACTCATGCCTAACTCTTCTTGGCCTTATGGTATCATCTTACATTCAGTAAATGATATATTTTACTTGGATGTCATGATCCAGACATGCAGCACATGGCCAGATACTATTTGACCTTGAAAAAAAATTATTCGTGAGTCCTAGTCGTAACAGGTTGTGGTTCAGATCTTAACAATCTGGCACTATTGAGTTTTGCTTGAACATTTATATAGAATACCTTTACAGTTCCATACTATATGTTATTAACCTTGAATATTTAATTAACATCATTTAATATCCATATTGCCATCTTTGAAATTTGGCTTTGCAATATAGGAATTCCGAAACTTAAGCTTGAATGGATATCATCTGTGTGAACAAGATGAGCTGTACTACCTTGTTCGTGACAAACGTTCTGCTACGGCTTCTGCATCTGCTTCAGCCTCAGATCCTGTCACTGGAGTGATAACACGCAAAAAAAGTGGGTCTGTGTTACTTCCTCCCCTAGGCTTGAAGCTTCAGCCAGGACAGACTGCAGGCCATGCAGGACTGTGGACTGATATTGGCCACCCACCAGCAGCTGCTTCGAGTGAGTCCACAACGGAATGCTAGATCTTTTATATTTTGAATATAAAATAAGCATTGCCACGTTTTATTTTAAGGCTTATTTCAGTTGTCTCTAATCTCAAGGGGCATTTGTTTTGCCAGTGTGTCATTTATGACATTAAAATATCATTCACAAATATACTGAAATAACGTTAATAAGTGTATATGATATAACTCCATCCTAAGTGCAAACTATATTTATAGGTCTTTCGTTTTGTTCTTCTTTATACACTACATGTTTCGGCCCCAAACGGCCATCATCAGGTGTATACACTCACGTATCTGTTACACTGCACTTGTTTATAACATTTAAAATTTAAAAACATAGGTCTTCCTGATTAGCACTTATAAAATCTTCGGTTCTAATTTTAAATCCTTTAAACATTTTTTCTCTAAATTTTAAAAGGATTTAAAATTAGAACCGAAGATTTTATAAGTGCTAATCAGGGAGACCTATGTTTTTAAATTTTAAATGTTATAAACAAGTGCAGTGTAACAGATACGTGAGTGTATACACCTGATGATGGCCGTTTGGGGCCGAAACATGTAGTGTATAAAGAAGAACAAAACGAAAGACCTATAAATATAGTTTGCACTTAGGATGGAGTTATATCATATATCATATAAAGTGCAACAGGATGCTTAAATATAATATTAATAAGTAACTTAGCTTATCTCTGGCTGTATGCTTACTTAGAATAAGCACCCATTCTTTGCTAAAGATAGATAGTATCACAATATATACATGAGGGAGAGTCAGTAAATAGGTCACAGATAGATATAAAATATAAAAGATGTGATATTTGAACCTGGAAAAAACATTTATTTCTTGATATATCCTTAATCTGTCACTTTACAAGTGCATCGAAAATCTACAACATAAGGTCATTTGACTGTTGTCTAGGCCATTTCCGCACCTTTGTTTACCATGTTTCTCAATCCAGTTGTGAACCACTTTGTGCAACAAACGCTTCCCACCATAAACAGGAAACATTTCTTTGTGAATATCTTTTGCATTGAGTCTATTTGCCCACAAGAAATGCACAACGGAATGCTGCTCTTATTGGTAACATATTTCTCAAGAACAGTTGCCATTTGGACTACTGAAACCAGCTCCTGAATATGCACATGCTTGTCTGCTACCTAGACTTCTATGAAGCTGAACTCTGCTGCTACCTACTAATACACATCTGTTACATCTGTTTTATTTCCATTGTGACCTATTTACAGACTCTCCCTCATAATGTCTAAAACCTTAAAGAAGTAGTACTCAGACTTAGAAATTAAAGTCACACTTGTTAAATAAAAAAGACTTGGAATGAAGATTCGAACTGCATACAGAAACTCTTCTGCAGTACTTGTACATCATTGACTACCTTATGTACTGTCAACAATGAAGTGTACCAATTTAAGTTTCTGGAATGTAAATTTCATAATGTCTTTGAACGTTCACTGTTATGTCCTCAGTAGGGTACAGAGAGGCAGGAAACAGAAAAGGTACATTTTTATATATACCAAATTTATCCATTGCTCTTGTAGGTGATGAAAATGTTCTTGTGAGTGACAGCTTTATTGAAACTCTAGAATCAAAAGTCCCAGTATCTGTTGGTAACATGAATCTGGATGACAGTGACACAGATGAAGAATCCAGACCACAAGACCAACCGAGACCTCGACCCAAGTCTAAACACTTGGATGCAACTGTTGTGAAACCACAGTGTGCAGATAAAGGCTGGCAGGAGCTAGCTCCTGATGTAACTCTACAATTGAAAAATATTGTAAGGTAATATAATCCGAAGAAGTCACTTCCTTCCAAATTTATATTCATAATTTGTACTTGTATTAGGCATTAACAAAGCAGAATACTTTCTTTTGTGCTTTATTTATATTGATTTTAGTCATTATGCAGTGTTGTATTCAAACTCACATAGCATGCTTTAGTTGAAATGAGAATGAATAGTGACAAAGAACCACCTCTGTACACATCAGATACGACTGTGCACTGTTCCTCCTTTTGGGAAACACTTGGAATGGTCACCCTACATGCTCACAAAAAGAGGTGCTATGCAGAACTACTTGGAGTCTTCATTCTTCTCATGCAAAGTATAACATGCTTACATCAGCTGATTAGGTTTGCCAGGTCACTTAAAGGTAGGACATAACATTAAATAAAAGTCTTCCTGTCAGGGGTTTGCCAGCATTTTGGGTACATGGCTTATTGGATGGAGGGAAACAGGAAATTCTAGAATGGAATTTACTGAGATAACAAGGATGGATGCTGCACACATTGGTAGTATAATAAGCTCCAAATAATAGTTTTTAAATCCTGCTTTGTGCACCTGTAGTTAATATGTTCTGTCACACACATTTCTAACTGCATAGTCTTTGAGAATGATACATATTACTGATCACACATAAGCGGAATATTTTATATGCTTTAAACCTAATCACAGGTACTATGTCACCTCAGTGGCTTGTTAAAACGTGCTGGTTGTTAACATACATGTATAATTCCTCCCGCTGCACAGTAATGTAATGAGTTGTTCTGCCTTCTATTTAACAAAGGTAGATTCACACTTCACATCTCGTGGAATTATAACATTTGCTTTTTCAGTCCACATTCCATTATTGTCTTATTAATACGTAATAAACCCTTACTACAATTTTAATATTGGTCTCTACTGTGGATCAGGGATATGACTGCTGTATGTCACAAGTCCTTGGTTCCAAAATGCTGTAGGCAGTCCATTCATAAATCATTAATTTGTTACATATGGACATATAGATATATAGAGAGACAGTAAGACGTGGTGAAACTCTTAAGACCTGGTGAAACTGTTAGGTGCATTTTTGCAACTATTTGTTGTTAATACACCAAAAAGATATTACATCACCATATGTAATAACACCATTGTCATTGCATCTCTCTCTCATTGAGTACAATATCTTTAAAAATTAACCAGGCTGAGGGAGTGTTAATTTTATGAAAGGGCTGGCAGTTTTCTTATCCAGGAGAGAAAATCAGCTGACTGGGGAAAACTGCAATCATTTCAGGACTTCAGTATTTTTGCAGCCTATCACAGGGTTGTTAATAAACAAACTCACCCATTACCCAAATGGGTGAATTTATTTCAAATCCTTGAGAATCTCAGAAGTACCTTCCTTCTGGTATCAGATAGAGTTTCTGTGTTTCCTTTTGAGGATCCNTTTCTTAGACCTTTTGTTGCAAATTCATGAAAGGAATAGACGTATTTTTTTTTTCTTTTGCAGAAATGCATCAGGCAGTGATGAAAAACTAGGGCCAAATCACAGCCAATTTCAGTCTCCCAGTCCAACAGATGGACATAGCCCACATGACAGTCATAGTCTTTGTGAAATCTCTAGTCCACCTGATGGTTCATGTCCTAAGGAAATTCTTAGTTCTGAGGACGGTCCTGCTGGAGTAATAAAACTTAACCAGAACAATGGTTTTGGTGACACATCATCAAGGAATGAAGATGTAGGAGGAGAAAAGGAAAGTGACAAAATTATGGCACGAGAAGTATCACCAACTCGGTGGTGTGCAGTAACTGCCTGGCAGCGCAGACAGCAACAGCAACAACAGCAGGGAACTCCAGGACACAGAAGTGAGGTGTCAAGCATTGTGGAGAGTGCTGTGGATACTGAAGATGGTGAGTAATATAATGTAATTATACTGCTAAGTTTTCAAGTTCACAAGCAATTTGGATTTCAAACTATTAATACATTCTTACATGTCATAATTAATCACAAGAGAAAGATCAAAATTATGTTATTTCTGTTAACTTCTCATGAATATGCAAGATTCTTGTCATTGTCTCATTGTTTGTTTCATGGTCATTACCTAGCAAAAGGTCTTTACAAAATACTATTATATCTACTGTGTTGTATTTAATTGATAGGTATGTAGTTATTTTATTATTATTATTATTATTATTATTATAAGGTGTATATATATTGTGCTGTATTGTGTTTTATGAGTTTCTGTGAAGGGAAGAGTGGTCTTAGTTAAATGGGATTTTTACTGTGAGAGATTTATTTCAAGACTGAATTGATTTATGTTAACAGAGTTATTGTTAATGACACATAATGTATTACATTTCATACAGATGTTAAACAACACTCAAAATGTACTAGATTATAAATATTATAAGGGGTCTTCACATATTACTGATTAAGTGTTGTGCTGAAAAATATTTTTGTGAACTAAGGAAATACTCATATTTTAAAATTGGTCTTAGAAATAAAGGTAAACTGAAGCGCCTGTGTAAACTTTCAATGAATAATTTACTGTCTGTTGTAGAACTGAGTGAAAGAAGTGTCCTATAGCCCCAGCAGACACAGAGTTATGGGTGAGGGATGCAGTGTAATTTAATTCAACCTGATAAAGCTTCAAAATTCAAACACAGGCTTTTGGATTAGTAGTTGGTTTATTATGTCACCTTCCACACTGATGTAAGTTTCGAGGTTTTCATGGCAATGACCATGAAGAAAGTCGTCTTCTGGGTTTTGGCGCCNTCTGAAACGTCGGCCAAAACGAAGAATACACGGCGCCAAAACCCAGAAGAAGACTTTCTTCATTTCCACACAGATGTTCCCCAATAATTTAATCTATGTATGGAGTTAACCTTGAGAGAAGAATGTTGTATGCAATTGATACCTAAGAAAAAAAAAAAAAAAGGCAGTAAGTTTGTCAGCCTTACGTGCTGGCCGCACTTCACTCCCCAGGAAAATTATTTAATTAATTCCTGGTACACATTTCTGTTAGAGGCTGAGTAAACCCCAGGGCCTAGTGTGGCTGGAAGGATTAGGTCAACTGAAAAAATCCGATGACCTCATCAGGACTTACAAAATAATATATTTAAAACATAATTTCTTGTGTATGTTCAGGATATTATAGTGATAAGCAGTATATTTTTAACATCCAGGCATCTCCTCTGCCATATGGTGAGAGGAGTATTAAAATCATTATCTTTTAAGTTCCCATGGGCATATGAATAATGAAAGATTCTTGAACAATTCTAGCAAATTTCATATGATGATATAATAGCTGTTGTCACTGCGTGTTGTGACAAACCTTGCAACAAGTATTAGACAGAGTCTGGCTGAACATTTTCTTTTGTATTTTGTTACTGCACACAAAATGTATATGTGTGTGTGTGCAATGCGCACTCCTCATCACCCCCCCCCTCAATATAATTTTTCACCCAGTGAAGAGGAAATTGTTTGTTATATGTCTGGCTTTTGTTTTTCTATGGTTAAAGGGTTACTGTAGAACCACTCAAACAAAGAAGGTGCTTTATTCTGTCCTGACTAATGATAGTCCTCTTTTCCAGGATATGAAGGATATGCTGGTGATAGTAGTGATTCAGCTGATGACTGTGATTGGCTACAGGACCTAGATATGCGACGACCATCCTTACCAAAGTTTTGGCTTATCATGAAGGTGAATCCTGATGCAGTGACAACCTACTTCCACTGCAGGTATAAATTAAAGATATTCATAATATTGTTAAACTATTCACTGAGGTGACAGGGGATTGTCAGTTTCATTCAAATGATACCCCTTGCTGCGGTCAGGTAGACTAAGTTTAAATTTTGTGGTCTTATTACATTGATCTTGTTTACTGTATACTTTATCTAAACTTTCCATAAGTGTGTAATGGTATGTATATTGGCCACTCTGTGTCATTTGAATCCTTTATAAATAACCTGTTTCTTGCATCACCATGGTAAATTTGTCCCTTGTCATCACACCGTGGCACATTCTCTTGTGGGTGGATTAGGTGGCCTCCAGATATGGAGGGTAGCTACTTGTATATTTAATGAGCAGTTGTGGACAACCAAGAAAGCATTTTCCTCCAGCTTGGGGTTGGGTGTGGTGCTAACAACTCCTTGTCATAAAAAAAAACAGTTTGTTACAAAATGTTACATGGGTCCTCAGACTTGAACAGATTCTTTGGAACAACCTGAGCAAAGGAAAATGGACATGAGATTTGGCACATGGAATGTAAGGAGACTGTACAGGGCACATTCACTGACAACAGATGCAAGAGAAATAGGAAAGTGTAAGTTAGATTTAGTGGGAGTACAGGTCAGATGGAATAGGGGTGTCACTGAATCAGCAGGCAAATTTGTATTTTTCTGTGCCGCCTGTGATCTTGGCTGCATTTCGACATCTGCCATCACCTCCTCATTATTGTTGAAGTGCTGTGGTCCCAACCAGTTCTTGAGGTAAGTAAACAGCTGGTATCACTTCTTCAACCATTTCTGTCTCTAATGAAACACATACTGTTCACAGTATCTGTTATTAAAATGCCATTAAATGTCATTAAAATCACATTTAATTGCAACATGTATCAGCCTTACAAGGCCATCTTCAGGCAATTGTTCATCAGTTGAAACTGCTGCAGTTCGTATGTCAGCGTAGCCCATGCTATTGCATATCATTGTTTGCATCTAAGAATGTGTTTGAGAATGAATACTCTCTCATTGTTTCATGTTATTTTCATTTTGCAGTCTGAAGATGGCCTTCTAACGCCAAAACATGTTGCAATTAAATGTGTTTTTAATGACATCTTAAAATAAAGGAGATATTGTGAATGGTTTATGTTGCATTAGAGATGGAAATGAGTGAATGAGTGATACATCAATGCAACAGGATGCTGAAATATAATATTATAAACAGGCGGTAGTTGCTCAGTGTGAGATCAGGGCTGTAAGGAGGGTGGTCAAACAACTCCTAGTTTGAATGCTCCAGCAGCGCTCGAGTGCCAGCAGCTGTATGTGAACATGCATTATCATGGTAGAGCTCTACAATGGATGTTAACATTACACACCTTTTGTTCCAAATGGCCCTGTGCAGTTCTTTTAGTGTTTCGCAATGCACTTATCGTAGTCCCTTGTTGCATGAATTCCACCATCAGCACTCCTTTCCTGTCCCAGAAAACAGTTGCCATTAGCTTTCTGGCAGACAGACATTATTTGTTTGAACTTTTTGGCATGTTTGGTGAATGTGTGTGCACCCACCGCTTTGACTGCTCTTTGGTTTCAGGATTCACAAATGATATCGAGGTTTCATCACCTGTAACTCATATGATGTGATTGAGAAATTCATTGCCATTTTTGTGGTATCGCTCTAAAAATTCAAAGCAGAAGCTATTCTGTGTGTTTTATGTGCCCCCATGAGCATTTTCAGAACTCATCTTGCACAAAACTTGTGATAGCCTAACCTAACTATAATAATCTCATAGAGAATAGTGTGTGAAAATTGTTGAAATTCACACAGAAGTTCTGAAATTGTGAAGTACCATCTTTCTCAAATTTTGTTGGTCAGCACTTGAAACAAGATCATCACTCACTACAGATAGTTGACCACTTCACTCTTCATTGTGAACATTTGGTTCACCTGCCCATCTTTGAACATTCGACATCATTGTCTTACAGTCCCTTCATTCATTACATTTTGGCTGTAAACCACTCATAATTCATGATGGATTTCCACAGCTCTCATGTTTTTAAAATGAAGAAAGCAGATACCAGCTCAGATTTCACAGCTGCCAGGATTATCAATCACAGGACACATCATAGTTCAGTCTGTATAGACAAGAACGAACAATAGGTGACCAGTCATGTGATGGTTTAAAAGGCAGTGAGTCATGTGACACTGCCGTGTGTGTGAGAGTTCTCCCCCACTCCTACATTAATTGCCTAAAATAAATGAAGGTTACTTTCCAAATAGCTGTCTTATTTTTTCTTCATGGTAACTGTATTTACCCATTTATTTAATGTTGTTGCCTTCGAAGCAGTAACCTTGTTGTTTGATGCAGTGAATCCGATAGAAATATTTGCAGAAAGCCTGTGCCTTTGTTCTGGAGTCATGATGACACCAAATCTCTTCCCCTTCATTGCCAAACCCATGTTTTGTCTCCACCTGTGATGACCTACAGGAATTCTGAGTCCTTCTCTTAAGTGTTTCATGAAGGTCCTGACAAGCATTGACATGATTCTGCTTTTGCTTATCAGTCAGCAGATGAGGTACAAAGTTTCAGGTCATGCTTCTCTTGTGTCCCAGTGAGATTCCCTTCTCTTTAGACAAGTCACAGATAGTGGTGTGTATGTTTACATGAACTGGTTTCTTGATTTACACAAGATTTGTATCCATTTTGCTCCTGAATGGATATTCAGAGATCTAAGCATCAGTGACTGATATCATTCAACTCTTGAACTAGGAAAGCTAGCCATATATTTAAGTTTATGTTAATGTTTGATCGGTGAAAGCAGATTTTAACATCTTGCAGGTTTCCATATCAGTTTTGCCTAATTCTAAACAAAATTTTGTGCACACATGCTGTTCTCTGTACTTATTCATTTTTTTTGGTAAAACACAAATTGCAGAGGTCACAAACACAACCTCACTTCACAAAGTGTCATTTCTGAGAGGCATAATCTAAAACTTGGAAAGGTAAATGATTCAGGAGATTCTACTCTACCTGCATCTAGCAGAGATGTTTTGCTCCAACAACAGTAGTGTGATGTTGCAGCCAGTCCAGACGCTCATTGATCATACTAAGTTGTTCTGAGAGTACAGCTCATTTGTTCATGCTATTTGTTGCTATTATTGCCTTCAACTTTGGGATTAATGCACTGTTTAACCTTTATCGGACGAACGTCATCATATGATGTCGTTAAAAGTTAGGGCAGCTGGCCGAACGTCATCATATGATGTCGTGGATTCCACGCGTGTAAGGTTTTTTTTAATATTATATTAAAAATATAAATTGTTGTTCTATTTACATGATTTTTGGTCACCACCTTTATAAGGAGACAGCCTTCGTTCCTGCATGATCTAATGTAATCTAGGGACGTCATATGACGTTAAAAGTAAGGACAAATTTAAGAACGACATCATATGATGTCGCGCAT